ACTTGTGGACTTCAACTCTGGGAGTTGAAGTCCACAAGTCTTAAAGTTGCCAAGTTTGGGAACCACTGAAGTAGTTAAAAGACAACCTGGATTAAACGATCAGGACGCAAAAGCAAACCAAGGTACAATATGCAGTTGAAGCAGCTTCCTTCAATTTGAATCACTGAGGTCTACAACCCCCATCATCCCAGCTAGCCAATAGGTTCACGATGCCTGCACTAGCCATGACGATGCCAAAATGATGACACATGGTGTTGTTTTGCAAGCGCTGACATTTTTTTTTAGCTGTGCATCACAAAGTGGCACCCAAATATCTAAGGAGAAGAGTTTTCATTGTGACATCGCAGCACATATTAAATCATTGGATGCCCAGATGATTTGCTGGTTAGGGATAGTAAACATTGTCGTTCAATAGCTCCGGAAGTCTGGTCTTGCATGAACTGACTTATACAAGCCACAAGTAACTCTGAGCTCATTAAAGACAAACAATGCTAGCTAAGGCTCACGTCTAAAACCCTTAGAAATGACTTACATTTTCAGGAGAGGGATAGATCCATCTGCCATTATATTCATAAGAGTAATATTGTATTCTGCAGGAAATGTTGAATGGTTCTCCTTGTAACCGCACCTGGTCTGCTAGTCCTCCAATAGTAACTGTCAAAGGCTGATTGTTGTCTAAGAAAAGTCAGACGTGTCTGTTAAATACAGACTGAGCCGAAGCCATATCAGTAAAAGAAACCCAAATGTCTTCATATTTTCTTATGCTGTCCCTTTGCTCTTTTTGCTTAATAACTTTTTAAAAAAAAGCTCCTGACCCTTTCAGCATCTTTTCCAGCAAAGTTTGGACACAATTAATTGAGAAATTATTCCAGTTTTTCATGGAGGGGGTTTGCCATTTTACTTTCCCAAATTTCAAACCAGTTTGGCAGTGACGGTAAAGGACAACTAATGTACTGAAGCAGCTATTCGTTGTCCTTCCTTGAACCTGGGATTTACACCTGTACCAACTTAACTGTCAAAGGCTGAAGGTTGTCTAAGAAAAGTTAGAAAAGTCTGTTAAATACAGACTGAGCTAGAAGGCTTGTCAGCAAAAGAAACCTAATGTCTTCATATTTTCTTATGCTATCCCTTTGCTATTTCTGCTTAATGACAGTGTATTTTCCAGTGCAGTTTTGACGCAATGGGTTGAAAAGTTATCATGGATCCAAGTCCCCATTTTACCTTACATTATTTCAAATCAGTTTGGCAGTGACAGTGAAGGACAACTAGTGTATTGAAACAGCTATTCATTCTCCTGCCAATATGGACAATTGTTCTTTGTTGGTTTATATTGATCTAGCATTGCACAGCAAAAAGAATATAGAGAAGTTGGAATTAACCTCTCCACATTGAAAAAAAAATGAACCACGTTTCTAACTGCTGCCATAACAACTGTCCTGAAAGGCTTGGAAACACGTGTTCAAATTGTGACAAAAGAGTAGCTCCTACCTACCAGAGACGGAAAGAGCAATTCTGCGTGAAATCACCCACTCTCCTTGAACCTGGGCTTTACACTCATAGATCCCTATATCACTCAGGTCTACTTGGTGAATCCATATTCCTTCCTTAGGACTGAAGGAGACTCTTGAATGAACTGGAGAAGAATTGTTAAGGAGGGTCATGTTGCCTGTGAATCCTGGGTCAGCAATCAGGCATGGAATCAAGGCATCGCTGCCCCTTTCCACAGAAGGATATACGCCGTGAAGGCCACACCACACCGATTCAGGATCTGTGGAAGAAATATGTTGGGAATCCATGATACCTTGGCATACATAGAAAAATAGCTAGAATTAATCTAAAATAAGGTTGCCTACTGCTGACTTGGTAGTCAGAGCAAAATCTGAGAGCTCAATAGAGGCCTCTTGTGTGCATTTGTTTGCTTATGAGATAAATCCTTTGCCTCAACCCAGCATAGACTCTAGAACAATGTACAGATATTAATTATAATAGAAGTAATAACAGGCTCCAATTTGGATCAGTCACCAGGACCAGAGGTTTAAGTTTTCTAAGTTTTTGGACTAGTGATGGAGCCCATTCTCATGGAACTGCTCTCTCACACTCTGGTGACTCAGATTGGATCCTGTAACATTACCAGGGACACGTATATTTGCCTTCATTTATAAAAGTAATAACATAATGCTTATAGTAGCCATTCAATATCAAGTAGCTTGGTGTGATGGCTCCACCAATATTTGGTAAAGTCAGTCTTGCCTCATGTGGGCAAGTTGTTTCTCAGGAGAAGAGCTCCCTCTCATTGTGCTTCATGATAGGAAAAGTTCTTCAGCAGGTTTCGGTCTCCGTCACTGAATGGACAGGCCCTAAATTGATCCCAGGCTCCAAGACTTACAGAGCTTTATATGTGAAAACTAGCATCTTTAACCATGCACAGGTAATAGGTAATAGCTATAAAGCAGTAGTGCAATGTAGCAGTAGAAGCATTTTGCAGCAGCTAAAGAATCTACATGGTCTTCAAGGGAAAATTTCTTGGCCATGGCTTCTATTTGTTCATCAAGCAGGAGTTGTGAATCCAGAGTCATTTATGCCATCAAATCAACTTTGACTCTTTAAAAAAAGATTTTCCCTAGGACACTTTGCAACCTCATCCTTCAGATCCTCCAGTTGTTAATCTACAATTACAGATGTATTATCTTTGGGATACAAATTTACAATCCGTCCAAGAGTCAACGTTGATAATGTCCTCAGATTGTTGGCATCTGAATTAACAACTGCCTCTTTTGCTTGAAAGGACTCCATTCTATGAGTCATCCAAATGAACTAATTTCCCATGATTGAACTGGACAAATTTACAGCAGGGACTTCCCATGATTGCTTTGTTTCATGTATGAAAAAAAATATTGGTATAGTTAAACCTTGCTGGAAAAAATTCTCAAGCAAGGGGTCAATTTCTAATCCTACGGGCCCATCTTTTCTATCTCCCACCAAGTGTCTTCACTACTTGATGGAGGAAGACCCTAACATATCCACAGCAAGCTTCACACTCCATACTTTACAACCCCTCCATCCTCTGTAAAAAACACTGACAGCTGACAGTGGAGGTATAGGGAATACATCCATCCCCCTAATTCTCAGTCAGTGTTTACTTAGCATACATAATGATTCATTTTCAGAACATATGAGAGATACTAAGGAGAAATCTGGTTACCTGTCACAGCCACATATATAGTACTGATCCCCTCTTCTGGTTTGTTGACATAAGCACACTGGTAGCTTCCCATCTGGTTGCAACTAGTGTTAGGCATGTAGAGGATGCCATTGTCATACACCATCACAGTGGACCCATTCTGGATACCGATCCACTCAACAGGGAATTTCCCTGAGCAAAGTAATTCAACTGATTTTCCTTGCTTCACTTTCAGAATGTCACGATTAGGGTAAATTCTGGGAGAAGCTGAGCCTAAAATGAAGAAAAAGACTGATATTGTTTTTTGTGATTTTGCAATTCTTCATTCTGAGAAGTGGCTGGAATGCTATTGCTTTGTACTCATATAGACACACACACAATTTGGCTGCCCTTTTCACAACAGTGACTCTGGGTAGCAAACAAAGATGAAAAAAAAAACAAAGTGAAAAGCAAGGTCCCATGAGATAAATCAATCTTAACATGGCATTAACAACCAAGCTTGCTTACCTTTCTGAGGACACAGTCAGGCCTTTGGAGTGTTACAAAAGATTAAAAGGAA